AATCTACTCCAACCTTACCTTCACAAATGCCCCAAAGAAAAAGCTAAAAATCATTTAAAAAAAGCCTTCATTCTCTTGAGAAGGCTCAATTGAGCAAGTTTGATCTTATCTTTCATACAAGCTTACTAACTTGAGCATCAAAAGAACTTTCCAGGGAAGCACTCAGGTTAGACTCATATTTTCTTCACTTTTGTGGGTAAAAAAAAGCAAGTAGTCACTATAAACAGCATACCCCAATAAGTTTTAGAGATTTTAAATCAACTTCAGAGCACGAAAGTAAAATAATAAATATAATAATTAAAAGATATGAGGATATTAAAATAAATGTTCTCCATTAAATCTATTTAATTCTCGTCAATATGAGTGCTTAATATTTATTATATAATGAAAAAGATTTTTATATGCAAAAGAAAAGTAAACTTAATTCTCCCATCAAAGTTAGGATGTTGCCTTAGTTCACCAATTGAAGTTTTTAAAATGAAATCCTACAAGCCAGCATTCAGCTTGAAAAAAAAAAAGTCTTTTTCATTAAGGCAAGATCATCAATATTAGTGCATAGTATTTATTAGATAAATTTAAAAAAGATTTTTATAATCAAAAGAAAAGTAAATTTAATTCTCCCATCAAAGTTAGGATGCTGCCTTAGCTCACTAGTTGAAGTTCTTAAATGAAACCCTACAGCTAGCATTCAGCTTGGAAAAAAATCTGTCTTTTTCATTGAGGCTGGCTCATAATTATTAGTGCTTAATATTTGTTGTATAAATGAAAAAAAGATTTTTATATTCAAAAGAAAATTAAATTTAATTCTACCATCAAAGTTAGGATTTTTCCTCAGCTCACTAGTTGAAGTTCTTAAATGAATTCTACAGCGAGCACACAGCTTGGAAAAAAATCTGAGTTTTTTTCATTTTGGGAAGCCTTTCTTTCTGCTTCTGGGCCAAATTTTTACCCACACTTTAGCACCAAATGGACAGAAAATTGGAGCTTCGTAGAGCAATTTTGAGTGATGGTATGAAAATATGATATGACCATCATACTTTAGATTTATTTAAGAACCATTTCTATCTTTCCAGCAAGAGCATGGTGGTAGCTCGGCAGTCCCATGCATAGTAGTGGAGCAGAGATATCCATTTCCACTTCCAATGTAGATTGCAGTCTTAGAAGAGATCACTAAACATGCATAGGATGACAGGAAGATCTCTCAAACATGCACACCATTTTAAGCAGCAACTACATTAATCCCTCAACTCAAAATGAAAAGCACAAAAATATAAGATTCTAATTGAATAAGCAAAGAAAAGAATGACCTTTCTCTAAACAAACAAAAATGACAAGCCGATATGAAGTTTACATTTTTTAAGGTTTCTTTTCTAAGAAGAGTGACCATATTAATTGTTATGTTCAAAATCCAAAAACTGCCTAGGCTTTTTACATATGTCAAGAAGCATCCTAACAGTCGTACAGCATGGCAATCATCAACAGTGAATCCTGGTCATTCTTAAAAATCAAGATAATTGAACCACAAAAATTGAGCATCATTTACATTGATCCACAGCAATATGATACTGACTATTGATGATCATTTTGTAAGGATTTCTGAACCATAAGTCAAGAAACTCCCTCAATAAAACCACTGTTAACACTATAATTTTTTTTAAACAAAAAATTAATGGCAGGAGAACACCAAAGCTCTTTTGCTAGGAAATTTCTAGGTATTGGCTATGATTTAGGAAGACAATAGCTTCTACTTATACATATGAGAAGACTCAGCACCAATTATAGCAATCTACAATAAAAGCAAATTCAATTGGATATCGAAGCGTTCTTCTATGAGGCAAGACGAAAGCTTTGAGGTGTTTGGATGCAAAAGCCTCAGCATAAGCCTCAAAATAATATTTTCTTGTAAAAAAGAAAGAATTTTACTAACTTCAAAATATAAAGTAAGAAAAAATATATTCATGTCCTAACATATTAATATATTAACAAATTAAAATCAGCCTAACATAGCAAGAAATAACAAACTGAGTAAAATAAAAAAAATCATGTTAGCATCCTAAACATCAAATCATGAAATAAGAAAAGTTATACAAAAATCAAAATAAGATGAGATATCAAAATAAAATATAATAACATAACCAAAGTTCAACAAAAACCCTCTATCCCACTCCTACAGCCCTCCACTAAGTAAGAAGAAAACAAGCCACCAAGTTTAAATTTCTAAATTCAAAGGTTCCCATCACCCTAATAACGCAGTGAGTCCATTAAAATTATTGACATAACAAATTGCTTCATTCCCCACCTCATCCGCAGTTGTTTCCATGTTCTCCAATGCCTCCTAATCTTTAATCTAAATCACTCTACGCTTCCCTCAACAATAACAATCAATAAAAAAATATTATTTAAATTTTAAAATAATGACTATGTCGATGATTATAACTTTAATTAAATGATATTTTATGAATACCATTTTTGTTTATTTCTTGTTGGCTTGTATCAGACCTATTGGTCTAGCTTATATCCCCATTGAAAAAAGCAACAATGAAATCTTCTTATTGCAAATCGGTCAGTGCTGCTTCATTATCATTCTCCACAAATCATTCATCATCTGATGGCACGTCATTATAAAGTAAGAGATTTTTGTTATCCTTAAAAGATTTTTTTTTTCAAATATCCATCATTTAATCTCTATATAAACCAAACATAAATAAATGATATCATACTTAATATACTCAAACAGTTTCTCCTTCTTATATAAATTTGATTGTATGTACTCTAATCGCTCAGAATTGAATGATGAATGTATAAATGCCTAATACCTTAACAACAAATTGCTATAGCTCTGAGTGTCAATTACCAAATTGAATCTGCCATTGAACTAAATTTTAAAATAAAAAATAATTCAAACTGGTAGAACACTTTCTTATTTCAACTGATAAAAAATAAAAAATATCTAACGAATATTTTGCAATTATATCTTTAATTTGTTGTAATCCAAAGAATCCTTCGTTAATTCAAATTTTACAAATTACATACCAAGTGTCACCGTTTCACTCATTTCTCCATCAATTTTTTCCTCGATTGCTCTAGTAGCACTAGCATTATCTATAACTTGAACAACTAGATGCTCATGCTCTCCAATCTCCTCTAGGAATGCAACCAAATGTCCAAAATATATCCCATATCCTTGACTTTATTCGGTGCTTGAACATATTTTAAGATAATAGCATTATAAGCATTATTAATCAAAATATTCATGAAGTTCTATCCTTGATATCAAACCTACCATCAGACATGATCATCAATCCAATCGAACTCCAAGTTCTAATTTCATCAATGACTTTTCGGTGTTATTCAGCTTTGATTTCATCAACCAAGTTCTGTAATCACATATAGATTGCACTTTTAGGCCTTGACCATAAGAAGTTATAGCACGAATCACATTAAGTGAAATATTAGTTTCAAAAAAGAAACTTCCAATATCCATGAAGATACTCCTTGAAGCTTTTCTAACACTTTGAGAAGACATCATCAAACCTTGCATCAATTGCCATCCCCCAATTTACAGAATCCATAGGACCTCTTGTACATCTATATAACATTTGTGGCAAATAAAGATGAGGAATCCTTAACCTAGGCCCACTTTTATAATAAAAATCAATATTTACAACATCAAGCAGTTGTTGTGCCAAATTCTTTGAACCCCTTTCTTATGATCTGAAGCACCTTGGTGCATGATGCAACATTATAATAAATGCCAAAAAGGTGCTCTTTCATTCTAATAACAACCATTTTAACAATTTTTTTGCAATAGTTGCAAGTTAGAAAAGCATACGTCTTGTTATTCCCTCCAATATCAGCATGCACGCTATACTTTAGTTTAAGTATTTTCTACCAATAGTAGTTTTATCCTTTCGTCTAACAATTTCTTACAAAATCCTAGAGTAAAAAATTTTGATTCAAAAAAAAAAATTGAGCCATGCAAATGTTCAAATAAACAAAAACTCTAAATAAAGAATTTTTTTTAAAAAAAATTGATTCATGAGAGAAAAAGTGAGGGACGAGAGATTGACATCGAAAGAGTTATTGAAGAAGAAAAGAAGCAAGTAATGAGGAGGCAGTGGTTGTGGCAGCGGAGACAGAGAGGGACGTGGTAGCAACAGTTGCGACAAAAAAGACCGACAACTTGTGTTTGTGCAAAGTAATCACATGAGATGACTGCCATAATGAGATTTTTGTAAGGTGTGAGGGGGTAGTGAGGGTCTATTAATTAAAATTTAAAAAAAATTATATTTTATCACGCACACCTCACATAGATTAACATTTGAGGTGCAACTCACCCTATGTGAGACATACGCCTCACATTAGGCCAATAGGGTGAAAGAAATGTTTTTTTTTAAAAAGTGTTGAGGGATAATTGCACAATTTTAAACAATAAGCAAGAGTATCCAAACAAGGTATAGAAATTGAATTTAAATGACTGATGTAGCATACACTCATAATCAAACCCACCAGAAGACTATATCACCTAAACCCTTCCCCATTACATTTTTAATTTCAAGGCCAAGCTCAGGCTTGGGTTGACAATCTCCCTGGTTGAAATAAAAGAGAACGTGCTTTACAATTAATTGACATAAAAATAGAAAGCATGCTCGTAAACAAATTAATTGCTAACTGGGAGTTAGATCTTTAAAAGTAACTGCACCATAATGTAAAAATCCCGACTTGAAAAGTGATAAAAAATGACTAGCAAGTAGTTCATTCAAAATTGACTTATAAAAATTTGGTGAAAGGCTAGAAATAAAAAGAGGCATGCATGCTCGTAAACAAATTAATTGCTAACTGGAAGTCAGTAGGATCCTTGAAAGTAACTGCACCGTAATGTGATCCTGACTTGAAAAGTCATAAAAAATGACCAGCAAGTAGTTCATTCAAAATTGACTTAAAAAAATCATGTAACAGGCTAGAAATAGAAAGACTGCAAGATCATGAATACAGCATACCTCTTTCCTCTTGTCTCTCTTTCTTTTTACCTCGTGAAATGGATCTACCAGATAAAAGAAAGAATGTATTAACAAATGGACTTCCATAAATAAGCACGGTGCATTAAAGCTAACTTACACTACAAAAGAAAAGACAAACCAATAAAAAAAAGACAGAAACCAACAAATTCATGCACGAGAGGAACTTTTAATTGAGGCAATAAACTGCAGCACAAGAGCAAGTTGATTAGATTAGCATGATCAACTACACCTAATCAGGGCTAGAAAACTATGGCAACTCTGAAAAGATGCCATGTCACTATCCTGGTAAGGATGATAAAATATCTAACCTATTGCATGTAAATTTAGTGTAGTTCACTAGTTCAATGCTGCATGGATAAAACTACGCAAGGAATCGTGCACAAACAAAGTGTTAAAATGACTAAAGCCACCATTTTAATCAGTAAGAGATACAGTACAAGTGGCATCTAGGATTCAAGTTAATGGAAGTAAGCATGTACTATCAAGTAGAAAACATTATAGGGAATCATTAAACAATGTTATGAGTTAGTTAAAGTAAATGACATTAAGACAGGCTTGGCAATAATTTTTTTGTGGCATATCACATAATATAAAAAAACATTTCACAATATTTGTTTCTAGAAAAAAGATCCTTTCTATGAATCAAATGGTCGTTTATCTGCTGAAAGTTGAATGAGCAGGGGAGTAATGAGAATTAGTTGATGTTTACTTTTCACATTGCTTATTCAAACAGCATGTACGCTAATAATTTTATGCTAAGAATGGCTATAATTGTGTAGGGGTTAACACATGATCGCAAGCTTATAGTTCAAAAATAATTTTGTATGCCTTGTAACAAATCTCTCAAATCTATTCCAGATATAATTTCACATTCCAATACCTATAGTGTTGATGGCAAATAAAGCCACCAAATTTTGTTTCTCATGGATTACTAATGGTATGCAAATGCAATATCAAATTCAGAGTTTGAACAACTACAACTACTTATAATACTATCTTTGCACCATAAATATTTACGATATCATTATTATAGCATAATAAGACAACACATAACAAAATAGATTGTCATCAGTAGAGATGAAACTTCCCTACCACCTAAAATATGTAAATTTAGCAGGAACAAATAATGAGCTTCACAATACCTCATAGGTTATTCCCAAATCTCTATCGCAATAAAAGGACTAAAATAACTCAATGTTATTAAATTCTAGTAAAAACACTAAATTCATTATACTAGCTGGCGGGCATCTATGAATGAATAGAATCATTAAGAAATCAATAAGAAAATAATACTGGGCACTAAGCACTTGCTAATTGCGTGTGGCAACCCACACCAAGAGAATTTGCACCATCTTGTTTGATCGAGATAATTTATACTACATTGCAAACTTAAAAATAATTCCAGTATTAAAAAATTTCATGTCATAAGCTCTTAATAAAAAATTGGTTAGTTTCTCCATAACCATATGGCACGTGTACATGATTGGGATTAAAAATAAACTCTTACTGACAATATGTAAATATGGCGCATTGATTAAAAGGCGCTTGATCGTATTCCTATGAGGAGCTCTTCACACATTTCTTCCATAAACTGCTATTATATCAACTATCTTATCATGCTATGTTTTAAAACAAAAAGAAATCATTTATGGCCAACTTTAGCAAAGTTGAAATGGTTTAAGATATTTTAGAAAAAACAAGGATAACGGGTTAAAAACTATCAATAAGACTGTCGGAGTGGTGCCTATTGAAGTTAAAGTACAAGAAAATATAATTAAGAGGCTTTAACATATATAATGATGCGCAGAAGATGCATCAATAAGATGGGTAGTTAAATTATTGAGAAAATATTAATAAGGAAAATGGTATACCACAAAGTTTAGAAGTATAAAAATAATGCCAAAAGTTAAATTCAAAATTAATTTAGCACTGAGAAGAAATGAATTGAGACTAAAAATTCAAAGAACCTATTAGAAAATAGTTGGGAGATTCATGATGATGACAATGACATTTATATAAAATTTGGTAGCCACCATATTATGAAATTTTAAACTACATTCATTCAATTTCACATTAGCAGAATGTTTGCAATTCATCTGAGTTGCTGAGTAGATATAGTTATTCCCTTATATTAGTTACCCGTTTGTTATTTTTGCTGGCAGAAAACACCATTCCTACCATAAATTATGAATGAAAAAAACCATTGGCCGACGTCTTTCATATGAACATGAAACATGAGAATCTTTCAAAATGCACCACGGCCTTCTCATAAGTATATCCTAGACGTTATGCAAACAAATAATAAAACCATAAAAAATATTGGCTTTTAAGTAAATTTTAGAAAGCAGATCGCGCTGTGAAATCTAAGCTGCAATGTGCAGTAATAGGGGTTTAAATTCTAAGACCAACAAGAGCTTGAGTACAGTAAGAAACTGAAGTAAAGCGTGACACTAACATGTACCAGAAAGCTGCAGTTCTTGGAAAACAGCGCAGAAAAAGGAATCAACCTATCTAAAAATTCAAGCAACTATAGAATTCTCATTTTCAAACTAATAATGCCATGTGATAAGCACTTCACTTCTGTTCTGAGCTATCGCCGTCTAGACTGATCAAACGCAAAACAAACCATGAAGATTGCCGCAATAAATTGATTTTATTGGAACATGCTTTTATAACTGAAGCCGTGACAGGTACATTTGAGAAGTTAAGAATTTGGATATGCCGCAAACCTTGGTTAAGGAGTTTCTGCGCTGTCTCGTTGGGATCCATATTGGTTTCCTTGAGCACCGCATATATGTCAGAATCGGAATGGTTGCCGACGATCTCTCTAATTGACTGGATCATCTTCCGAATGCGAACGGGGATCGTCTGTGCGCCCCCGACTTCAGGCCTGGTACCGGACACCATCTACCTCACACCGCGATCCGACGGCGGCGATATCGAAACCCTATCGCAGCGGCGGTCCGCGGAATGAGCGCATCAAAGGAGGCGTGCAGGCGAAGAGAAAACGATCGAGCGGCCGATATGGAGGATGAATGGAAGCGGAACGAGAGAGAGAGAGAGCAGAGGTTTTGGGTAAAACGCAGAGAGGATTTCGCACGATGTTCGTTTGCTCCAATTATGACATTATCAAGCTTGTAAACCTGCCTTATTTACTGTTGAAATTTTTTCCTTATTTATAAATATATTTTCACAGAGTTATTTTTTAGTTGAATTTAGTGTGATTCATTGCTGTTGTTAGATCTTATTTTGTTGTGAATCTATATTGATAAGAGATGAAATTAGGAGGATTTTAAGCAATAAAATAAAATAAAATAAATAAACATGATATGAATACCTACAAGCGAATGTTTTATAAGCATGTTGAACGTGTCAATAAATAGGTAAATCGTAATTATCGTCGGTCGAATCAATTTGGCATTCATGCACATTTGAATGTATTCAACAATAGGAGGAATTTTAAATGCATTCATACATCACGAGAAATAATATCTAAATCCTACAGTGATATCATTCTTAATTTAGCACAGAATTATTTCATTTTGAATTAATGGAGTAGTCTTACGATGAGTTTTTTGAAGCTCACCTCGAGCTCACCGTCTAACATAAGCAACATAGAATTTGCAGAACTTTTAGAATTTCATGAAATATTTGACTTATCGTGTGATTTAACACCAATATTACTCGCTCTTTTTATGAATTCTAACCTCAAAATGACTTCTTGATATAAGTAACTCTTCTCTGATACTATCTACCTTTAACCTTTCCTTCTTCCTATAACTATGTTGATTTACTTGCAAACAACCCTACCAAGAGGTAAAAACTCAATTTGCAGCTTCTTACACCAGTTCTCCTCCCGCTACAATGACCGAAAATGAAAAATGCTTCCATTCATGACAAACAACAAAATGAAAATGTAGAAAAGAAAATGAATGTAAGAACCGAATTTTTTTTCCTTACCTTTTCCTTTTATGCTATCCCTTCATTTTTTGAAGCTTTTCCAAATTTAAGCTCTTGATTCCTTCTTTTTCTCCTGATTTACTGTTGCCGCCTTCCCAAATTATCGTTGTATTGCCGCTTCTCCGTTTTATATAAGAATAGGTTCGAGCATGGCTCAATCAGACATCTCCTCTTCCTTGCCTCCTTTCAATGTCTCTTCTACATCCACTTATACTTTTGCCTAAAACCATCTCCTTCTTGATCAAACTCCCTCGCGATACAACCACAACTATAGCTAACTAGGAAGGCATTGGTGGGATCACGGTGTAAGGAGACCCGAAATTCCCATTTTCCTCTTCCTTCCATTCACTTATATCCGAAACCATCATGGAAGGTAACATTTTCTACCCTCACACACTTCGGCTCTTGTATCTTGTAAGTCCATCTCCCAACGGGATTTACTAATTCAAGATTTAAGGCAAACCGATGGAGAAACGAGATTTAAGAAACAACTAAATTAAAATATATTTTATTGGCTATTATGTTATTTTGCACGCAAATAGCATTCACTAATCAAATTTATTTTGGAATTAATTTTTTTATCAAATTAAAATAAATGAATATATTATTAGTAAGTTAAGGTTCATAAATTCTTTCTTCTAAATATATTCTAATAATAATAATAAAGTAAAAAATAATAATAATAGTGAATACTTATAATAATAAATGTTGATTAAGTAATGCCTATGCAATAACCACATAATTATTCTTATCTTATAATTGGTGTAGACTTGACAGCCGAACCGTAAAATCCATAGAAGTTTCTCATTTGACACCACGTGATAAGTAACTGCAATTATAAAAATTCATATAATTGCAGTAGTTTCTATTTTTACTCATAATGACTTTAGTATATAATTAACATTATTTATTGATGCTTAGTCCTATATTGAGTTGTTCGCTTTTAATGATTTTAATATTTAATATTTATTTTTATTGTTTAATGTGACAAACCTCATTATTTTGTAATTGTTTATAAATATTGGTGGATATTTTGTAAATATGCTCTCGTGTTTTGATTTTCAAGCATGCAATATAACTAATATTAGATAATTATTATGTTGGTAATAAACTCATTGGTTAAGTCTAGTCAGACCAACGGGTTCTTTAGAGAAATCAGTGGATTTCTATGGGATTGGTGTCTACCTTTCTTTATTACAGTGTTTCCTAGTAAACCAACTATATTATATATATATATATATATATATATTGAAATTGTATATTATCAAATAGTATGAAATGATTGATTATTCATATTTGTACCAAAACACTTGATATTGTAGCATGTAAATATCTACAAAAAGTGTGTGTTTAACTAACTCTTATTCATGATTATAAACATTTGATAGTCATTACAAATTCTTTTATATACATAATAAACTATTTATATTTATGGGTCATATTGCATGCCTCATTTTCGTTATTGCTTATGTTTTAAAAAATAATAGTTATTTATTTAATTTATTTTTTCAGACTCACCTATTGATATTTTATATAACAAGTTTCACCCAACCACTTTTCGAGTCATCACCACTGGACAAACTTTCTTGGTTTAGATTTTATATTAATATTTTTTAGTTTTGTATGAGTTATTGTGTTTTCTTTCTAGGTTGGATAGTTGTTTCAGTATTTACATTTTAGTTTTAGTTGTATTGGTTGATCCTTATTTATGGAATAAAATTTTGATTTTTTTCCATTATTGTTTGCATGTTTTTTTTTCCTTTGTGAATACAAAATATGTTCAATTAGTTCCATCATGCCCTCGATTGTCGGGATGTACCGGCTTCCGGAACCAGGGTGTGACGGAGTGGTATCAAAGCATATGTTTTGTAGTCAATTTCACTTGTATTTTGTACTTGATATGATTTATCTTTACATCCTACATTATTGCATTTTCATTACACATCCCTTATCTTCTTAGGAATAAAATCTAAGGTATTCTGCCAGAGGATTTTTTTTTTTTTGAAAAAGATTTCAATTATGATAGAAAAAATTGATAGCACAATGACAAATTATTTAACATGTAGTATGACAGTGGAAAAATTGATTCATCGGGTGGTTACGCATCCTATCAAAATTGATGTGACGAAATTTGATGACAAATAAAACTTTGGCATGTGTGATGTGAGGTGATGGATGTGTTGTGTTCTCTGAATCTAGAGAAAGTTCTGGATAACAAGGAATTTCTCAAAGAAATGTTAGAGAGAGATTGATTGAAGATGAACATGAGTCTCTGTGGATTAATCCGAAATTGCTTGACCCATGAGATCAAATATGGGGTAATGATGGAAACTTCTGCAGGGAAATATTTGGAGGATGCTGGAGAATAAATTTCTCATTAAGAGCATGAAGAGTCGTCTTCATATGAAATGTCGACTCTATAGATACAACAGAGTTGTTGGCAGTTCAGTTACATTTAGAAGGGAAGGTTGGAGATGAAGACAAGATGCTTCTCTTATTAATAAACACTTAAATGACTTCACAGAGCTATTGGTAGATCTGTTAAATTTGTAAGAGGAAGTTGGAGATGAAGACAATGTACTTCTATTGTTGAATTCACTCTCGGATGAGTATGAAAACTTTATCACGGCACTCATTCAAGGAAAGAACGTCTTAATTGTAATGAAGTGACTATAACTCTATTGAATCATGAGTTTTGTCAAAGGAACAAGGAGTTCACAAAGATAGAATCAACAGAGGCACTTCAGTCCAACATGACAGATCAGAGAAGAAGAAGAAGAATTCAATAAAGAAAGGTGGCGGCGGTGACACTTCTCAAAAGCGGGACAGGTCTGAGTATTGGGAAAAATCAGTGTGCTTTCTCTTTAAGGAATTTTAATTAGAGGAAAGATAGTCTGAAACTGAAGGAGAAGGGAAATATAGTTGTATATGAGGTAAAAGCCAATATTATTGAAGAAACAAATTTTGATGTATCAATTTCTGTAGTTTCTCAGAGTTTGTTTACAGATTATTCATGTTGGATTATGGACACTGATGCTACCAATCATATTTGTTCTCATTGATGATGGTTATGTATGTACAAGGAGTTGTATAGTGGTGTAGTGACTATGAGCAACGATCAAATTTATCATACTATTGGTGTAGGGAGTATTTTTGTTAAGATGTATGATAGTACTATGAGGGAGCTGACTATTGTTAAATATATTTTTCCCATATATTATAAAAAAAAAAATTTGTTAGTTGGGGCTTTAGAGTTCAAGATCTACAAGACAGTTATTGAGGCAGAAGTTCTGAGGATATGTCATGGAGCATTGCTTTTATGAAAGAAGTTTGACATCACAACCTTTATTAACTTCAAAGTAATACAATGACTGGATTGATTGTTGTTGCTGCTAATTCTTCTGACGTCAATATGTTGTGGCATATGCGGCTAGCTCATGTCGGAGAGGCTTTGGTGAAGAAAGGATTGATCAAAGGAGCGAGCACCTGCAAACTTCATTTCTATGAGCATTGTGTGTTTGACAAAAAGATGGGTATCAGATCAGACAATGGGGGCAAATACACTTTGGATGCATTCTTGCAAGAGTGCCAGAGAGCTGGGACAGAGCACCACTTCGTTGTTTGAGAGACAACACAGTATAACAAGGTGACAGAGAGGATGAATCTAACTTTAGTGGAGAAAATTTGATGTATGCTATCCAATGTTGGGTTGGATAGTATCTATTGGGTTGAGGCAATAAAATATGCATGTCACTGGTGAACTGTATACCTTCAACAGCTATTGGGAAGAAAACCCAAAAGGAGATGTGGTCATGGCATTCTGCTAGAGATTATGAGCACATGAGAGTGTGTCCAACTTACTGTCGCATGCAAGGTGATAAACTGGAACCACCAGAAAAGAATGTGCTTTTTATTAGCTTCCGACATGGATTTAAGGGATTCAAGTTGTATGATCCATCAGAAAGAAACATTGTAATTAGCAAGAATGTTAAATTCAATGAGAACAGCTTGTCAAAATATTGGGACTCAAAGCAGGTGGAGAGTTCTAATAGGACTACATATATCCAGTAAAAGTTGAATTTTGATGCAACTTCATTTGTTTCACAGAGTTCGTACACTCTGACTTAAACATATGATTTGGTTACAACTCATGAGGTGTCTGTTGATAAAA